ATTATCATTATTATCATCATCATTATTATCATAATTGTCATAATCGACTTCAGCAATGACATGATTATAATTATTATTGTTATGTCTATTATCATCATTATTATTGCTATTATTATTTTTATTATTATTATTACTATTCTTACACTTTTATAAACGTAAGTAAAATTTTTGAAAACATACATATTTTTTTCTCTTCAGCAAGAATCATAGACACAAATTTTCTAATTCTTTTTTCCGAGTTATACTCATTTTATGACAAAAATTTTATAAGCATTTAGTACAAAAAGATAAGAACATAGTGAGATAACTACCAATAACAATTCGTATCCAAAAATGTGAATCTTACCCATTTCCAGAGAAATTAATTTACCAAGAGGAATTTGATATCTTCTTAGCTCATTACCGATTTGACGAACAACTTCTCCGCGTTTTGGAATTGGAAGAGACCTCCAGTAATACCATGCTTTTAACGATTTTTGAATTGCCTTTATAGTCTCTTCTACAGTGGGAGTCTGAATTTTAGCTATAACAGACTCAGTTGTTGGTGAAATACAATGAAGAATCTGGAAAAGTCGAAGTGTTTTTTGTAATATTACTCATTTTTGTTTGAGTAAGACTAATTTTTGTCATTTTAAAGTTTTCCACGACGATCAAATACAAAAAAAAGTTGTTAATGTTCTAGAATTCTTTCTATAAATAGTTTCTACGTATGTAGATTGACTCTTTAAGGATATCCTTATGCAATAATATAAGAATTTCCATAACTTTTCTTTTGCTCATGATAAAGAAGAGAAATTGGTATTATAACCAGTCCTAATGATACTATACATAACTTTTTTTTTAATTTCACAAGTTTTTTTTCTAACTAACTGCATAACAAAGTTGTTATGTACAAAATGCACAATGCATTTTATGCAGTCAATTCGTCATTTAAGTTATAACAACTTGAAAAAAAATAAGAAATAACTCTGAAACAGGCATCCTAGGAAAAATAGACGGGCTTGCAGTTACCGTTAAGAAATAATTAGAAGCATATGAATTATTCAACAAAGAAAAAAAGCACAGAAGCAAAAAAAACAGGAATCAGCTTGCCTTTTTTTTTGTTGTCTTAAATAGTAGAAATAAGAAAATCTAAATTGGTTTAAGATTTTGGTATGGATCACTCAATTTATTTAAATAATTTCCTGTCAATGATTTTGTCCAACGCAATAAAATCTCTCAGGATTGACGCTTTCATAATACTTTATTTGCATGATGGCAAACGTTAATGAAAATTGCTTGTTCTAAAACATTCATTTGTTGTTTGGAAGGTTGTTCAAAAATGTCCCATAAGGCTTATTTCACTTTTGAAAAGTTAAATTTAAAAACTTTTATTTTGGGTGAGTTAAATTTTTAAGAACTTGAATTATAAGGCAAACGTGATAAGTAGAATAGATTTATAACTTAAGGGTTAGTAAACATCGTATAAAGTTAAGGATCAAATGACACACAGTTGATAACTTCAAGTATACTGCTACAATAGGTCATTATTACATTTTCTGTGAAATAAATATGTTTAATAGTTATAGTATAAAGCTACCGCATGTATATGCTCACAGCCTGTATAGAGATAACCTTAATATAATTATTTCCTTGTAAAGAGATGGGAGACCTCTCATTACAGGAGAGGGTTCAAGAAAATTAGGCAATTATGCTGCGATAAAGTCGCATCAGACCCTCCTCGAGGAGCATTGCGTGGTGAAAAAGCACACGTGAAAAATCACAGAGGTACTTGCCCGAAAAGTCGCACTGGCCAGGAAGTGAACCGCGGTGCCCTGCGTGCCAATCCATGATCTATCTGACCGAGCCACCACGCGCTCAATTGATACAAATATATCTTCTATGAAACAGTATTGTGTATGAAGGTGGCACAATTATTGTGCGAATGAGTAAACCTACGTTAGTTGGATATGATTTCAATTAATATTTTGATATTTAATAACTGAAAAATTATAAACCATAATGTATAGCATAATACAATGTAAGCAATATGTAGGCTGGCCAGTATAAGACTATTCAATTTCATCGAATCTTCTGATGATTTGAACATAACTTCGTACCACCTACGCTGATTATATTTTTAATGTCACAATCACTATTTTATTTATGCTCCATATTACTTGCCCAAAATATAGTTGTTTGTAAAAAATTAAAATAAATCATTCAGTAGTACCACTTCCTCCAATAGCATAGTATCAGATTCCATTGAATGTCCCGTCTGGACGTTCATTATACATACGTTCTTTTTATTTACTATTGTTCAAACATTAAACGTTTATTCAAAAAAGCAATAGAAGAAGGTTAACTATGGGGATTCTAGGATAGTAGGGATTCCCTTCGCTGTCCTAAAAGAATTTTCCAGTTCCACTGCTAAACTTGCTACTTTCTGGCGTCTTGGTTGAAAAAAAGAAAAAATGTATGCATAAAATTAAATGAAAAAAATCAATAAGAAAATTGAAACAATATAATAAATCATTTATTAAACATAATGTTTTGAAAAATAAAAGTAAATTATTTTAGTTTTATTTATATCGTTTATATTCATTTCATGGACTCAGGCAAATCTAAGTAAATCTTATTGTACATTCTAACGTCATGATGCGTACAGTTGGCATTTTACGCCCCATTGTGATGTGGGCTAACGTTGGCTATTTCTATTTTTAAACTTAAACTGGCTTTTGATTTTGCCACTCATCTACAAGTACCTAACAAATTTGATCGTGCTGCAGGTAATACGTACAATAATGTGTGTTTATCTACATGTTTAGGTCCAAGATTACCTACCTATGTGCATTTTTTGTTTATAAAGACTATGAAGAATGTTCTCTGTATTCATATAGAAAACAATTAATATTTATAGGTCTTGCTGGCATTAAGTGGTTTAGAAATTTTATGGAAAGAAACCAATTATCATTGCGGAACACTGAGCATTCTTCAGTGGCTAGAGCTCATGGTTTCAACCAGCAAGCAGTCCATGAATTTTTTTCGATTCTCCAAGATACCATGAAGTTGTATAATTTTGAACCTCAAAATATATACAATGTGGACGAAACAGGAATTTCTGTCGTTCCTAAATCCTCGTCAAAGGTGGTGTCTCCAAAAGGAATGCGACAAGTTGGAGGATTAGTTGCTACAGAGAGAGGTAAAACCGTGACAGCTGAAATTTGTATGTCAGCTGCAGGGGTATTTATGCCACCAATGTTGATTTTCCCTAGAGTCAATGAAAATACTCAGTTCTTAGAGGGGAAGCCTGATGGTGCTTGGGCAGAATTCCATAAAAGTGGATGGATGCAGTTAGAAATATTTACTCGGTGGTTGAAAAAATTCATTGATTTCTCTCATGCATCAAAAGAAAATCCCGTACTCCTTCTTCTTGATGGTCACTCATCGCATATTAAAAATCTAGATGTATTATATCTAGCACGAGATAACGGAGTTGTAATTATTTGCTTTCCACCGCACTGCACGCACGGCTTACAACCCTTAGACGTAGGCTTCATGAAACCGTTAAGCAAAAATTACACCGATGAAGTCAATGGTTATCAGCGAGAAGGTGGTGTACCAAAAATGAAAAATATTTTTCGTTTATTTGGAGCAGCATTTATTAAAGCAGGGAGAATGGAGACTGCCATAAACTCTTTTCGAAAAACTGGAAAATATCCATGTAAGCCGTGTATTTTTTCTCCATCAGACTTTGCTGACCTACCTCAGACAAATAGTCAACTTAAATCTGAGGAATCAGCTACAGGCAACGAAGGTATATTATTTATTTTCCTGCTTTTAAGTGCAAAATAATTAAAAAACGCTGAATATTTGAATTTTCGCTAAGTCCTTGTTTTTCATATGTCAATGGATCTGTATCACAGTACTCACAAGTTCTACAAAATTTAGTTGGCGATGTACGTGATCTTAAGTAAGAAATCCCAAAGTAAATTACAGAACAACCAAGAAAATGAGCCAGTCACGTCATTTACAGATAATATCTTAATACCTTTTACTCCTTTGATCAAATATATGGTAAAAAATACCTAGTGACAAAAAATTAATTTAATTAATTATTGTTAACTTTGAACGTTCATTTGTACAAAATTCTTCGCTGCCTCCTGGTTACGAAATAAAATTATGTCATACTAGTCAAGCAGAAAATATGTCTAGTCAGAATATAATAAGTGACATGTGTGATATGACGCAAAATGAAGACAATAACTCAAACAACCTCAACTATAATCAGTTACGTGACCATCAAAGCATGCAAATTCTATCCAACCACGAAATAAATAAGCCAGTTTTCGCACCTAGTCGTACGGAGAGTTCCTCTTTAGAGTTAACGACAAGGAGCTACCTGGTTGAAGACAGCTTCGTACAGCCTGTTCAGGCCTTATCAGATAGTCCATTAGGCGATGTAATGAATCAGTGCAATAATAATATTAGACAAACTAATAAAAATCAAACAAGGGTATTGAAATCTAGGAAGGGAAAGTGTGCCGTTATTACATTGGATGATTACTTTCAGCAAATACTTGCTGAGAAAGTTAAAAATATTAAAAAAGATACTCTGGAAAAAAAAGTATAGAAGCCAAAAGTTATATCGAACATGGAGGTGACGAAGCCTATAAAAATAAATGAAAAAAAATTAAAATTACAATCCAACCAAGTCGATATACCTACAACACATGATACGATTGAAACAACAGTTGATTGTGTACTTAACTCAAATATTTGCATCGAGGAAGATTGCATCTCATTATTTTTTAAAACGATATCTAATTCTTTATATTAATTATTTTTCAAAATATATTACTTTTGAGTGTTGTATTAGCATGAATCGATCCAAAGAAATGCGATAATATTGTGATTAAAATGTGATTTAAAATTACAAGAGATTAATACTTAAAAATTATGTATATTATATTATTTGTTACAATATTTTTAATACGAATACTGTAAGTACTGCAAAATAAACTTAGATTTAAGATCAGTTTCAAAACCTACACACTTTCATACTGGGTGCATTATTTATCCGTGCCCATCCGCGCCCCACCGCCTGCTCACCCGTACTCTATGGTGAGGCAAGAGTGAGCAGTTTTGGATGTTCTCGTTCTTCAGCATAGAAAAAAATATATATATAGATTAAAGTTTAGCAAAGAATGGCACGGTAAAGTTAAGGTTCTTACCGTGTCAATAACGCTTGGACAATAATAAAATACTCAAAATTGTTGTCACAGTGAAATAATGAAAAAAAGGTGCCCACCGCCGCCCCACGTTCCTCTTACTTCTTTTTTTTTAAGTTCGTGAGTCATTTTCTACACAATGTTCCAGAACCTTTTTACATTACACTACTACACCCCCATTACTGATATGTGCAGAAACGCAACGTATGATAATCATCATACAGAGAAATATAGTAGGCTCTAGATATAAGATCGGAGGTAGATTGCACAACCAATTAAATCGTCTTAGCAAGCTACGTGTCAGCATAGCACATTGCCACTATATGCACAAGAGTCAGCACTTTCATGAAAGT